CGTTGAACAGATTAGAAATTTTCAGAACATTTAGACACTGGCCAAAACTACCAGGGAATGGACTCACCAAATTGGAATGCATCACCTGCTGGAGGAGCAATAATAAAGATAATTGTGACCACATATTTGAGGATATAGGGTCCTATTGGTGTGCCAAAAGGCTTCGTAGACACCCAGAACTCAGTAAACGGAAGTACACCTTGCCTGGTTTCCCAATAGTCGTGACAATTAGCAATTCGTTTGAATTCAATACCCATGGAGTTCGTTAGAACCTACCTTCCGATCTCTCGAAGCAGTCGAGATTGGCCAATGAGGACAGCCAGGAGGTTACCAAACGCGCTAATCAGAACTAATGCATTCAAAGCATCCTGAGCGCGACCCTCGCCGAACACAGCGGCAAAAAAGACAGATGCCGAAGTAGCATTCGATTTAGCGAATATTTCCTTAGGAACTTTCCCCACAGGTGAGCGTCATGATTATCTACAACTTATGGAGGAGGAAGGGGACATACCGGCTGCAAAATATGCAATGTTGCACAAAAGGTACAATAACGAGACTATAGAGACGGAAATTGCACCGTGCCGCTTCAGCGTAGGAATAGGGTTCTTAATCTCATTCACCACCGAGAAAGCGTTGGCGTACCCGGAATATGCGAAAATGATATTGACTAGAGCCACTGATAGATCGTTCCCGTTGTTTGTGGTGCCTTCGAACGCATTGCGGAAATTAGCACCTGGGTCTGGGATTCGAGAAACATGTCCTCCAAGGACGACAAAACCGGTGATGCTGATGCTACAACAGTTATAGATTTAGCACCGTCCTATTTATACTGCTGTCCAGATCAACACATACAATACGAGAGTGAGGACCTTAACACCGCCGATGATATTTGTCGCCCAAAGTGAGTACTTGTTGTGTGCGACGACGCCTATGGTCCACAGTATGAGAGAACGTCCGTATTTTTGGAAACACCAAGACTCACATATGACGGCTGCGGTATAGGCTGCGACGGCAACGCCCTTCGATTCCCAAGCTGTTGGCGTTTTGCTATCGGGAATCAGTACTCAGCAACTGCCATAAGTCATAAAAGCCCCAACGGTATCTTGAGGGGTATTCAAGAGCAATGAGCCTAGAACCTGCCAAGGAAGGAAATAAGAAACTCAAGACTACGTACTGAGCCAAGGCGAATAGGTAATTAGATAAGACTGGTACCAAACGTTCGTGTGAGCTGCGGTGATCCTCGAGTGCTGGAATGAGCACAATACGCACCAATCGCGTTACTGCTGCTGAAAGAGAGGACGACAGAGTAGAATGCAAAAGTAATCGGGAAGAAATGTCTTGGTCTTGGGTAGGCTTGCTCCAGGTAAACGACTTCGGATCCCGATCGGTTTGGAAAGTAGCTCGCTAATTCAAGGTAGACCGAGAAACCAGCAACAGCAAGAAGTATGCCAATCACCCAATAAATGAGAGCGAGACCAATTGAACCTGTTTTCCCAAGGATAGTGCCCGCTGTGTAAAGCTATTAGCTCTTATTCCGCACAACACATTGGTGGTAAGGTTGGCTAGCTGTATCAAAATACACGTACGAGTGGAGAAAATGCCTGTGCCAATCATCTGATTGATGTTGAGAAATAGGACAGTTGCCCAACCGACATGATATCCGAGTGGCGACTCTGATTCTACCGGCGCGCCGACTGCCTCCTGGTAAGTCACCCCTGAGCCATTGTGTGCCTTGACTCCAGTGTAGGTGAGTTCGCCATCATGAACCACTTCTAAATCGCTGAAGCGGTCAGAGTCTGTAGATGATGCAGTGGCTGCACTCACTGCGGGCCGCGCCCAAAACTTGGGAATGCCCATCTCAGCAAGTGAAGCCGTTGAACAAAGAAAAGCTCCCAGATATGATTCGAGAGATAATCTGGAAGGATGCAATCAAGAGGAGAACATTGCGACGCTGCAGGAATGTCGGTATTTTATACGAGAGGACCATCAGATGATGAGTACCCAAATTTCGGGGAAAGGGGCGATAAAGATTGATACACATAGTGACGCTTGGCCAGCCTGCAAGATTGCGTGCTCGATGTTCTCGCCAGGACCTAGAGTTCAAAGCTTCCAAATGTAGATAGAGCCAAGGAGCACGCAATACATGCTAATCTAGAGCCATGTGGCTGGGGGAGCACCAAACCAAAGAAACAGACTCTGGCCAACACCCATCGGGGTCCAAGCTGTAAACATTCGCCCAAAGAGAATTCGAAGCTGAACCATTTTCTCCAATCCCTGGCAACACCCCACGCGGTTTCGTGTAAACGATGACGAATACATCGTCAGAGACTTCTTCGCGAACAGCCGGCAGCAACGAGATGTCATCTCGGCCGTCAATTTCGACAACGCGAAGACCCTTCCGTCGACATCGTCTAATAATTCGTACTGCGTAGAAAGAATCTGGTCTTTTCCCAGAGCTGCGTATTGCATTAACAAGATTGCGGCGTTGCCAATTCATCGCTATTTACCCGAGGCGAGGTTGCATAGCTTGGACCCAATAGATAAGAGCTGGTTTCTTTTTGTGTTCTCGTGGTATGAGTACTCGACAAAAATTACTCGATCAATCTACTCGTTGACTATCACGTAAAGGTAGACCTTGGCAAAGAGACGCGTCTTGGATCACCGTTTCGTTTTATTGGGTAATGAACAACCTACCTGATACCCAAGCAGAGACTATAATGCCTCAGCTTTTGATCACACCATATGAAGGCCCCCCAAAATGCGGAGGTACCTTTAGATGGTTCGATCTTCCGACATATGCAAGGCATATGACGATGTAACCGTACCCCTGCAACAAGTTTTCCATTGTACATGGTCATTGCTCCCCAATCCCAGTTCATAGGGACTAAAGGAGGTAGAGCGAAGATACCTACTACTCATGCAGGGCAGAGCCACATACTTGAGCAATTGAAAGTAGTTGTCTAACATAATAAGTAGCTAGAGTTGTTCACCCTCTTTTTTTTCTTTTTTTTTTAATTAATTTTGCGTGTTCTACTATTATGTCATTGTACATAAATTAGATTAATACGTTACAAAAAGGGTTAGCTACCCTGCCATACAAGCTAGAGAACCTCAAGAACCTTCCTACAGCCATCATCTTATACATTACACTCGCGTTTTTTACTTCATTTCTATAGACATAGTTTTCCATTACTTTAGGCAGGTCCTGTTATATTGGCTTGTTTTATTATCTCAAAGCATAGGTGTGAGCCGTATGAATAGTCAGATACTGGACATATTCCGCAATAATTCCTCAGCGCTTCAGTCAAGCTTCACAAACCGATCTCGGGTAGGTATTCATAAGCCAGCAAAGATCGGCCCGCATTCAGTAACATTTGAGTGTTGTGCAAAAAGAATTTTTCGCCTATAAAGAAGAAAACGAAGCAAGAAGAGTGAATATTCAGTACTGCACAAAAAGGAGAAATTATGGCGTGAGGGCACACGTCCATACATGAAGAACGACTGAAGAACTCTTGTCTGTCAAAATGTGAGCTCTGTAACGTCATTTACCTCACAACTTCTCAGATAATCCGCTCTTTCCCGTTCGAGAGCACGGGAAACCCTCTTCTCGTTCGCTGGCTTCTGCATCACCTAGCAGGTGTCCCATACTCGAGATAGGCGAGCATACAGTGGCCATCCACAGAGATGCGTAACTACCACCCAGAACAGTTTAGAGTCAGGATCTTGTCACCAAGAAAACTCTAGTTCGATATACAGTGTCCACAAGGTATGTGTCGATGATCTACTAAACCTAGGAATATTCTCTTAACGACCGTTTCCAGATATACCATGCCCTTAGGGATATTTCCCCACCAATACTGGCATCACAGCCGTTATGTCGCTTCGAGCCATTGCTGGGGCGGTCATTTGCCCTTGACAACGACCGCAAGAAAAATATCGTAGGGAGCAAGGTACTTGGCCGGCCATGGGCCGATTTTCTACACGGCAATCTACTGTAGAGATACCTGCGGCCACCGTTCGAGCGCCTGTGTTAGTATATCGTGCGCCGAGCTGGTCGTGGGTGTCAATTGACTGACGAACCAGCGTTATTTCCACACGGCTTCGAAATTGGTGGCTTGTCGCCCAAATATGATGGGTCCTACAATCAAATTGCCGTGTTCTTTGACATTATACAGACTTCTTGTGTGTCGGAAGCTGACGATGACACTGGTTGCATTCGGCAGGGTCATTTGTTGCTAAGTGGCGAGCTTGTAAAAGCACATCAATATCTGGCGCATGGCTACACCAGTTCGATCGCCATACTTAGTGTGAAGACCGCCCTTTCAGTGTCGAACATAAGACCCCAAAATAAGTACGTTACCGAACTGATCCATGAAAGCTTCTGCTTCATTGACACTGATAGAAGTACGCCAATCAAACCGTCGCAGGCCTCTTTGCGGTGTGGTTGATCAGTCCTGCGCTTAAGCACACTATTAGATGGGGTAATACCCGCCTCGACTCCGGACTTCTCCTAGAGCGCATAGACCAGGCGAGCAATGCCTACATAAGGGTTCGACTCCTCATGGACTCTCGTAGGGCTACGGGTGTCTTGGTTTTGAAATGACTCATGTGAGTCGATTGAGGACAGTGTTGGTGGCTTTGAGGACGACGGCTCTGTCGAGAACTTCAGCAGGTCAGCGAGCCACAACAACATTTTGTATGTAGAGGTTTCGGTTCAACGCAATTGAGATGTGTTGGCGAAGGCTTGTCTCCTGCCCAATCCGGCGCCTCTACAGGTAAATCGGGTATAACGTAAGTACCTCTAGTGGACAGTTCATATCATAGTGCTAACCTTTTTCCCTCATATTTTAGGCTAAGATAGGTAGTGTACACTAGGCCGCCTTAGCCCACACCGGGGACTCTGGTCGACCCAGGTTAGGGTTATAATTGGTGGGGAAGCGGAGCGCTTGGATGGCAGTTGAGGTAAATATTACCAGGCATAATGACGAGATGTTCCATAGCTCCTGATAGCTCAGTTGGTAGAGCGATGGACTGTAATGGGAATATAGATATCCACAGGTCGTGTGTTCGACTCACACTCAGGAGACATCTTTTTTTTAGCACATTTTTATATGGTTCTGGATGATGAAAGGTGGCAGAGACAGGGATAGAGTAGGGCGATTGCGGGCTGGAAAGTTGTCTTCTATGTGTGCGATCGATCATCTTGTTGTTTGTGGCTTGGCTGGCATGTTGACTGTTAAAGAAACTTTTTTTTTCTTTTCTTTTCTTCTTCTTCTCTACCCCCTCACATCATGTCTGTAACGGTCGCTCCGAGAAGAGAAATACCTATTGAGATGCGCCGATTGTGGATCCATAAATCCTGGTCTGCTTCTGTCGCACGGCGCCGGGATACCGGATTTATCGAAAAGATGTCTCCGGCCCGTGAAGAAGTGAGATTCTTAGCCAGTTCAATACTAGTGTACTCAACACGTAATCTTGTGGCGTTTGTGGTATTGCATATCTTGGTCTGACTGAGCCATTACCTGTTACTGTACACGAGGCAGATGCGAGCAATTGGGAACTAATCCGCCAAGTCTTCAATGCTGCCAGTCACCACGCTATGTGTATGAAGCGCATAGCAGAAGAATTTAATATGCAGACTTGAGGCACGGAATACGGTTTACATTTACGAGACTCCCCGACCTACCTACTGTAGGTTAGGGGATTTCTAATTGTGAGGCTGATTACGGACTGTATCCTTGGCAAATACTGCTGTAGTCTTACATGTCAAGATGATAAGATCTACGACAATAAGATTCCGATGACACTAGCACTTACCGATCTCAGAAATGGTATGGCAATCCTTGTCTCATCCTATATGCTCAGCAAACAAGCTGATATATCTGCAGAGTTAATATTTATCTCCCGAGGTAGGTAACTAGGTAGATAAATTAGACCGATATGAGAATGGGGCTGAGATGAAAACTTAGGTACCTGGCATTATCAGACAAGACGGTAACACCACTTATCGACGATCGATAGGGCCCGTCAGGCAAAAGCATTTTGTTTGCCTGTACTAAGCTGCGGACGTCGTCTATTTTCTCCCCGACCGGCAGTACACTAATTACCGTCCTACCCCGGATCGGATCATGCATGATCTGAGTGGTCACTTTAGTGCCCAAGTATAACCCAAGTACTGAAGATGGTGCCAGGTAGTCTGGGAGATTAGCAACGACTCATTTAACCCCTGCCCTGTACAATTCCCTGATACTTGCATCTTAGGACTACAAGAATGCGGCATTAGCGGAGGGGTATGAGTTTCGTTCAACACCTATCTAAGCATACCAACCTATCAATTATCAACTTCACCTCGATCCCGGGCCAGATGGATAACTAGAGTACATAAGAGACCGCCTCTAAGTTTTACTATATCTCCTTTGCTTTATATGTATATGTTTCGGCTTAGGCGTTGATGTGCTGCATGGAGATGTGGGTCAAATACCCAAGGTTCATTCACGTTAGTCCATGAGGCCATGAAGGCATTTACGTCTCGCTCTTCATTGGGTATATAGGCTATATAGGCTACCTTAATGCTCACCTAGAAGCAAGGGATGAATCAACTGCGTCAAAGCGGCACAGTCTCTTCTCTTCTTGTCAGCATTAATGTACAAGTAAGCCCAGTCATCTTGACTATGTACTGATGGGAATGGCACGCCAGAGGTTTCTTTCCAAATAGGTAGATGAAAAAACCCATCAAGGTCATTTATAATACAGATGCCACCCACCCTCTCTCGTCTGATACCCAACTAGGACGCTGTCTACCTTTGTTACGTTGAAGAATTTGAATGCACGATGATGAAGCTAGTTCGATTGTGTATATTGCTTTTAACTGTGGTGGTTTCAGCATCTCCGGCCCCCACGAAAGACGCCGGTGACTGCTTCACCCTACCGAATGTCGCCCCGAACTATGTGGCTAGGGCCGCTGCTATTCAAACGAAACGGAACGGTTGGTTATACGAAGAATACCCAATCGGCGGTGCTTTCTACCCTACCGGGAAACTTGCCAACGAAACAATATCCAAACAACAGGCACAATGGTTTCCTATCGTAGTAGAACATGCTAAGTTGATTGAAGAAGAATCGATAGCCGCCATGGCTGGCATCATTGCGGTATGTAAGCTCAACCCAGCACCCAAGATTTCTAACCGAAAACTATAGACAGGCAACTTCTCTACATTAAACGATTATGCGAAGACATATGAGAACCAGTGGAATATGTCCCTTCCTCGTGGCCCAATGCTAGGCATGCTCACGAACTTCACTGACGACCGGTTATTTTCAATGATGAGACTAGTGAGTGACACTGATGTTATGCCTTTCTTATGTTAGGGCACTTGATACCTTCTACATTGTTGCAATACCACACGCATGAAGAACTTCTAACTTGGAGTATCGTACTCAGTCTGGGACGCCATACAAAATACAACGTGTCCAACGCCATGAGACTTTGCTTTTCCCGGTCGACAATGCTGCTTCGATCACGGGTGGGCTTTCTCTCGGAGACCTGCAGGCTCAAGGCCGGCTATTTTCTACAGACTTCAGTCGTTTAAAGGTATTATGTGTAAAGACATCTTATGCATTTTCTACCTAGCCCTCCGCTTTCTTTCTATAGACCTTGATCAATACTGATATTTCATAGTGAGTGTTTCTTCATATACTGTATATAAACAAGGACACACTAGAGGCATTTTAAGGAAGCAAAGCTCGTGTCTCCGGGACGACAAATTAACACGTTGCAGGTTAGTACCTCGACGTCTCCTATCTTCCCTTTTGGCCGAATTACAGGATTTCTACTCTTATAACCCCGTCAAATTCCCCAAGCAATTTATCCCTTACCATAAGTAGCCGTTTCTAACTCTAGGTTGCTCAAAGGGATCTCCCCTCGAGTGGAAAGTATGGTGCTGGATGCCAGGCCTACTTCTATATAGACCAGTCAGGTGACTTTCTCCCCTTGGCGGTTAAGCCTATCATTAAGAGCAGGGAGAAATCGGCTCTTGTTTATACCCCCAAAGACAAACCGGCGGATTGGTTGCTCGCTAAGATGCTTCTGAACCAAAACGATGGCTACCACTCCACTTGGGCCCACGTTGGCCAATCGCACTCCGCTGCCGAAGCTCCCTATCTCGCAGCAATTCGGAGTCTTAGTAATGACCATCCAGTCATGGGTATTCTTAACAGGAGTACGTCTTGCTTTCTACCTAACAATCATAGGATAGCCCTGCTAACAACAATCTCACAGTTGAAAAAACACCCTGGGGTATCCGTCCCAATCTAGAAACTGGCCTCCAGTCAGGAACAGCATTTACTGGTCCTCAGTATTATCCATGGACTCCTGACGCTGCTCGGGATTATGTAAACCAGTTGTATCTGTCCGGGGAATCGGCCGATTTTGAAAGGAACTATTACCGTTCGGAGTTCAAGAAACGTGGCTTAATTGACAGTTCCTTTGGGCCTAAGCTAAAATCGTTCCCATTCTACGAAGATACCAGTGTCGTGACTGAAGCCATCCGAGAGTTCATGGAAACTTTCATCAATTCATACTATCCCAACGATCAGGCGGTACTGAAAGATGTAGAACTGCAGGTCAGTCCGCTACCGTTTCCCCCCTTTTGACACGCCTCAGGGGGATGAATTACCTGATTATGATGTTTATTCTCATTGCTACTACAAACTCCCGATACCATTCTCTTTCCCTTCTTTTTCTTTTCTTTCTTTCTTCCTTAATTTTTTTTAATTTTTTAATTTTGCCATAAACGACGATTACTGACTCTGGATTCTTAAATAGGAATGGCACCGCGAAACCAGAGCGGCGCGGGTCTATGACTTCCCTCAGATCAACACCCGGCAATCCATCGCCGATATCCTCACACACCAAGCCTACCTCAGTGTCATTGTGAGCAACGTAATGAGCACGAATGGCATCCATTTGAACTCGAGTTCGTCCCCTGGTGTCATTTATTTCCTCTTTGGCAGGTTTCGGGCCTCATTGCTCCTGCATATTCCTGAGACACTGCTTGAATTGTCACTCTTTACAGTAATTGCTAACTCCAGCGTGTAATCAGTGTCCCTTCCGTTCGCCCCGGCTGGGTTTCTGCAGCCGATCCCATCCAAAAAGGGGCTTACAGAGAAGGACCTTAGTACGCATTTCCGAGTTTTTATTTTATTTTTATACCCCCCCTCTCTCCCGCCTTCCCAATCTTTACCACAAGGGGTATCGTTTAACACCTGAATCCCAATAGTGTCATTCATGCCGACGCCCGAGGGGGCTGTCTGGCAAGTCTCTACATACGTCGTTGGCCACCGTCCTATGTGGCGAGATACTAACGAAACGCTTTCTCATCTTTTCGACGATGAAACGTTGCTAACGAGAACGAACCCTAAGACACGGGCTGCGGCAGCTAAGTTCAAGGACACCATGATGAACTTCAGCGTTGAAGTTCGCGCTCGCACTTTCGATGAAAATGGTCTCAGCCGAGGTATGCCGTTTATATGGGATGCCCTAGATCCGAATTATGCGCCGTACTGGAGCGTGATCTAGAACGGCTTGGTGGGGGTTGGGGGTTATGTGAATTCAACCCTTGCGATCAGAGCCTATAGAGGAAGAAAACTGAGTCGGCAAATTATGCCCTGGCGCTGCCACCTTTTCTATGTTTCTCGCCAAGGACACAAGGGGATGTCAGGATACCTATCATATATGTGTGGACGTCCAATAAATTCCCTGGCGCAGGGCGAGAGGAATTCCATATAGCTACAATGACTATTAGTCATGCATATACATAAGACAACAGTAGGTGCTTCTGGTAGTAAGTAATGTATTCATGTGTGGCACTGTTGTTCCCCCCTGGTATTAATGGCATAAGAGCGTCTTCAGCGAGGGTTTCTCGAATATAAGGCGATTGGCGCTCCTTGACGTATGTTTTATACGTATTAAGTCTGATTTACCACGCTTCTTCTCTTGCTAGCCAGGGGCGGTCCATGGCACCTAAATATGGGGACCAGCCTATGTATTCTGGTGTTGGAAAGATATTAAGGCACTTGTCTTGCCTT